GTCAGCTTACACAGAAATATTAACTGTGTTTTATTTATTTAATTCAGGAATTCGCAGCAATAGTCCTAGAGAGCTAAGGGTTGTGTCAGTTTTCATAAATGATAAATGAGATGTTGATTGAATGCACTGCACAATTCAAATCCAAATAAGCCTAAGTTGTATTATGGATGATGGAAATTAAGGATAACATTATTTAACTGGCAAGTAGATGTGTGAAAAACAGTGTAGTGGTAAGTTATTGTATTCCCCGGATGGGGAACATGTGGTTTTAAGATCAGTCTGTTGCCTCTGCCACAAACACTTCCTTATTAAGAGGATATCTCAAAAAACATATTTGACGGGTCTTTTTCAAACTTTGAGGAATTGTATAAGTGATGAACTAGAACTGGTTAAATTTTGAGGCACTTCACCACAAAACTGAAGCAGCACTGCACAGGAAAGGCCAGTTCCAGACAAGGCCTGATTACTTCTGTTGGACAATATATTATCCTGAAACTATATTATTGCCATTTTAAGATCATTTTATGCCACTGATATAATAATAGTATAATAGCATAATAATACAAAGAGCAATGAACTTTTAATTCTTTTAATTCCAATATTCAGACATTGGAATGTCAAAAAATGTAAATCTCATAAATAAATAAAACATAAATAAAATCACAGAACCAAAACAAAAAAAAAGGAGGAAATGGACTTTCAGGCTGTTAACAAAAATTCCATTACGTATGAAACGTTTGGCACCAGGGTATAGAGAGTCATCCACTCATTTACAGGCAATATACCGCCAAACCGAGTTTTGTGGAGGCTCTGCTCAGTGACGTGAACAAACCTCGATCGCTCATTGGCCTTGGGAAAAGTAACAGGAAAGATGTCAACTGAAGATTTTGTACCTTTTCTACCCTCTATGATCAGAATGATAACAAAAATGGCTAGCGGATTTGAAAAATAGTTGACTGAAGAAAGTCTGGAAATACCAGCAATTATATATTTCCATGTGTGTTATTTTTCATTTTAATTTAGTTCTGATGTCTAGTTCTACGGTTCACGTTCATTCCACAAGCTCCACAAAGGTAAAGGAATTAAATTAGAAATTAAATACACACACACTTTACATTAACTGCGCCTTCATAAAGCATTCAACATTTACAGCAATGCATCCATGTGAAACAGATTATATGATTATAATCACAATTGAATGATTCTAACAGATATAATTATCTGTTATTATCACATAATGTTTGTATTAATGTATATTAAATCTGTTAAGGTTTCTTAGCATGTTAACAAATACTTCCATACAGCTTATGAATGTTCATACAGTTAATGTAAGTACATGATGTAATGTAAGTAAGAGTTGGCAAATAAAAAGTAACCCATCAAAATGTCTTGGAGCTATCATAGAACATCTGAAAGTAAAAAGGCAAGAAGAAAGTGGATTGTCCAGTAAAATCAGATTTCTCTGTCGTTGTAGATGGCAAAAAAAGAAACTCCTGACATAATCCAAAAGGGATCAAAGGCTTGGGCTGAATTATTTCTATCGCATGGTGCCCCTGCACTACTTATTCAATCAAAAACAGAGATTTTGAAGGGGGGAATGATATCAAAATGCATTATTGAAGAGTAAGACAAGAGAGGAGATGAAGTGGATTTGGATCATAACCGGGGCAGGAGTTCATAGAATTTCAGGCCCATGTAACTCAAGCAGTCCTATTATTCTGGCTACATTTGTTGGAATTCAGGGCATGATAGAACAATACAGACAATCTAGAAATCCGACCCATGGCTGATAGTAATTACTTGGTGTCTGAACAATTAATAATTTAATGTAATTTCAGATAGACTTGTTTCCAGGACCCTTGGGCCAGCTTTGTGATTGCAGTTATATCTATTGCAAAATAAAGGAGAAGGCAATAATGAAAACAAAGAGGCAATGATAACATTTCTTTACAGAGTCCTTGGCTGATAAATGTGACATACATACCAGTATGCTTTTAAAATGTTTGTTGAAGTTGAGGGCAGTAACACTACAGAGAAATATCCCATTGGCTGGGAAATGTTACAAAAATTGCAGCTCCGTGATGATAATAACAATGTTTCCATGTTGAGCCACCATGTGTGAAATCTGATTATACTGTATTATCAGTTGATAGAGTAGTCTGATTGTTGAGAGAAGGAATTAACTTCTCACTTACACAAATCATGTATCACCATATTTCTTTTTAAATATTAAAAACCTTTACAATATGTTAAAGTGTGTGTGTGTGTGTGTGTGTGTGTTTCCTTTTTCAAATCTAGCCGGGTATGAATGTGACTGGAATTACTAGGATCTGTATCTAATTTGTGCAGGACAATATATGTAGTTTTAGTAACAAGAGTTTGTTATTGAGTGTGACAAAGATACTTCATCAATTTAACAGCCGTAATTAACTTTTCTCGTTCAAGGGTAAAGTTACTATTTGTTTTGGTCAGTGATTAACTGGTGCAAATTCCTGCTAAGGATATTTATCTGTTTTAACGCAATACTCCACATGACCACAAAAATAAGTTAATAGGCTCTTGAAAACTGTGTTGAGCATTTTTAATTATTAAAAAAAGTATAAAAAAGTGATCAAAATAAGAATTTATCCAATGAAAAATAAGTTATTCAATGAAACATCCGGTAATGTAGTTACAATTCAAATGCATGAAATGATGATGATACAATTTTAAACTTGTTTTATTATTGTGTACTCTCCCTAACTAAAGAGTAAGTTCCCATTTAATTTTCTACGCATTTATAAATATCTAATTGCGACTGCATATGTCTAATGTAATTTTGCTCTTTCACTTGTGCCTCTTTTGTAGTTGTACTGTATGTTTATTTTTAACCATCCCTCAATGTGGTAGAATGCATCTAAACCCATTGTTCTTTTAAATTCACTTTCTACCTGACATTCTACCAGTGCCTCACCAATATCACTGTAGCAGAATGATCAGCAGTGATAGTTTTGTATATTAAGACATACATGCAAAAAATGAATAGGTTTAGTTTCAGAGGTAAAAACAAAATTATTTTATATTATAAAATTCAACTATACAGCATTACAACATTCATAATGAATGAACAGTTGCACTTGTTTCTGATTAAATGTGAAAAAATAAAATTAAAGTTATGAGGGTCATACATTTTCAGTCTCTACTGAGATTCCAGTTCAGACTACATATAAATTAAATACTGAAAAGTAGCCTCTGGACGTCATTATAACTGATTACTAGCCTGGATTTAGTCATCAGTGGTATCAGCCTTACAACATGTGGCCAGTTGAAAATTACTTGGTTATTTTTATTAGCACAAAATAGCACTGGAGATTACAGACTGGCTCTGGTATTTCAGCCCAGGGACTGGAATACGCTGGAAGTGGATGAATAATAGATGGCGACACATTTTATAATGTGTTACACTTTCATGCCTCCAAAGTCAACAGCGGAAATTGTCTTATGTAATGGTGTCATAGCCTGGAAATTCTGGTATAGGCCACTTTTCACAAGAAAGGTGTATGTAATAAACACATACATACACATGCGTGTACACACACACACACACACACACACACATCCCGATAACGACAGCCTTAACACCTACCCAGCCCAAAACTTAACCAAAAGTAACCAAACAAAATACAAAACTTTTGGCATTTTTACTTTTTTGTTTATCTATGCTAACCCCCCCCCCCACACACACACACAGCCACACACACACACACACACACACACACAGCCACACATACACTCCAATGGTGCCAGTTGTAGTGTTTTCTAATGCCAGTGACTGGAAAGACACATTATCTTGAAGCCTCAGTTACCATTGATCCACCATGTAATAATATCTCTAAAAACTGGTAAGTAGACAATTATGTAAAATGTATGGGCATTTTGGGAAAAACACTCATATGATGCATTTATTTTGACAAGCATGACATAGCTATGACATAAAAAAAAACAATTATACTTTCTTCATGTGTGACTATAAAAAACAGATTTGTCTCGAACTGTTGTAATGCCGTACAGTTGAAATTTTTGTGTTATTACTAGCCTGTTCTTGTACATTCCTAGTTATCGGGTATCGATTGCCGGCCTCTGCACCACCTGGGGTTTAACTGGATGTTCCAGTTTTGATAACGCGGAGCAACAGGTTTTCCCATCTGGTCTGTCTCATCTCAGTGTTTGTAGTTAGTCTGGTTTGTAATCTTTTCTTGCCTTTTAGTACCTCATCCTGGTTTTAGTCTCTTCCCCCTCTGCCCAGCTGCATCAGCCAGCCACCCCTAAGTCCTTCTCCACCTCACATTGTTCCAGAACCTTTGGTCCAGGTGATCACCTGCATGGTCCAGAACCTTGGGTCCAGGTGGTCATCTGTATCATCTAGAACCTTCGGTCCAGTTGGTCACCTGCATGGTCCAGAACCTTGGTCCAGGTGGTCACCTGCATGGTCTAGAACCTTGGTCCAGGTGGGCACCTGCATGGTCCAGAACCTTGGTCCAGGTGGGCACCTGCATGGTCCAGAACCTTGGGTCCAGGTGGTCACCTGCATGGTCCAGAACCTTGGTCCAGGTGGGCACCTGCATGGTCCAGAACCTTGGTCCAGGTGGGCACCTGCATGGTCCANCACCTGCATGGTCCAGAACCTTGGTCCAGGTGGGCACCTGCATGGTCCAGAACCTTGGGTCCAGGTGGTCACCTGCATGGTCCAGAACCTTTGTCCAGGTGGTCACCTGCATGGTCCAGAACCTTGGTCCAGATGGTCACCTGCATCGTCTGGTGCAGACACTCATTTACATGCACAGAGGCTGCTTGAGTTATTAGAGACCCTCCCAGCCACTTTCCTATCGTTGGTTTGGTGAGAGTAAAAGGTGGCGACCGGTGGTGGTGGGATGAAATTTTATTAACCAAGGTTTAGGACCCCTGTATCACCCCCCAAGGCCCCTGTATCACCCCCCAAGGCCCCTGTATCACCCCCCAAGGCCCCTGCATCACACCTGTGCAGTAAGACGCCCCTGGACCTGTCCAATGACTCAGGGACTGTTGCACAGAAAAACTGGCAACATCAGGGGGACAGGTCAGTTTTGGGTCCTTTGTGTCTGTGCACTGTCTGAGTTTATGACAATTAAGAACTCTTTGCGCATAATCTGTCATTTACTTTAAATACTGTGCATTCCATCATTATGATCCGATAAACTGATTAACAACTTAAAACATCTGAAAACTTTCAAAATGACTGACAGATACTGTAATATGCTGATGATTGAAAGTTCTGAAGACATTATCATACATTGGTACTTTTTATTATATTGAAAAGAAGATGTATTTATTGATGTGCCTTATATGCATTTAAATATATTTTTAAATATGTGTATCATGCTGATGCTGTTTTTACTTAAGATTAATATGGATCATACAGAAATGCGAACTGAAATCTTCAAAAGAAAAAGCGCTTTGAAAATATTGATCTGTCAATTCTCACCAACCAGAATAATATTTGCATTTGCAACTTTCTGTCTATTTCCCTAAAGATATATCTAAATATGTTAGTTAATTTTTAACATCCAAGAAATATTTTAGATCTCAAAGAAATCCAAATTGTATATTTACATTAGTTTTTCAATGTATTTGTAATATTTAAGGAGAATAGCCAAACGGAATGAATGGGGTCACTCTTCAGGGATGCCAATGGGAAATAAACAGTGACTAAAATATGAGGAACTATATAAAGGCAAAGATACTCCTTAAAAATTCTTGCGGCTACACAGGTTGGATGTATTACAAAACTAAATGCTTTCAAAGCCCAATACAGCGATGCACAGTACAGAGAAATATTCTTTTAAAGGACGTCATTCTGGTTATATGTATTAATTATGCAGTCAGCCAGTGACACTGATGAACGTTCAAGTTCAATTAGATGAAAAAATAATCCAGGGAATCCAAAACGTCAAGAATGCCCAGACTGTACTAATACAAAAGTAACAGTTTAATTTACATTTAATCTGAACTGGTAACCAGAAAAATACAGCAATTTATTCAAATAATGTTGTTCTTTTAAATAATATTTTTGTGGATTTAAATAATCATCATTCACATATTGAATTTTTTTGTTAAAAATATATGTGGATATAAGTGTCACTGTAGCCGGGTGTCTGACCTCTCCATGACCTTCTTCTCCGTTGTCGGGAGGTTTATCTTTAACGGGATGGCCGCCTCCACTCTTTTGCCCTTATTTTTATGCCTTGTGCAGAATATGTATGTGGTGAGTAAAAACACAGTCAGCAGCAGTCCCAGGCAGGCCGACGTCAGCACTGCCACAGCGGGCTGGCAGGGAAGCAAGGAGTCCCTCTTCTCAGAATATTTAATTAACCTACCGAAGAAACGTTCCTCCATTTCAGGCTCTTTTTCTTTTGACAGTAGATTCCGTACATAACTCTCGTTGCTCACTGTTTCATTGATAAAAAAATGTACCATCACAGTGGAGTGAAGGGGCTCTGGCTGCCCGTGGTCACTGACTTTGACGAGGAGACTGCAGAGGCCTCGGCCAATCAGTGTTTTCCTCAGGGTGATGTTCCCTGTGTTGGGGTCGATGTCAAACGAGCCCGGCTCGCCACCCCTCCTTTGAATGATACTGTATTCTATCACTGCATTCATTCCAGTGTCTTTGTCCACAGCGTACACCTCTGTAATGGAAGTGCCAGGTGGAGTACTCGGCAATACCAGCATGTATGACTGGTTGGACTGCGGAAACAGCACCAAAGGTGGGTTGTCATTGACATCAAGGAGCAAAACAGTTACCGTGACGACACAGGAGCGCGAAGGCTCCCCTCCATCGACTGCTTCAATCAGCAAGAAGTAGGTCCCTTGCTGTTCTCTGTCCAGGGATGTTTTGGCCCTTAAGGTGCCTTTTGCAGTGTCTATGACAAAAATGTCACTGCCGTTAATGATTGACAAAGACACCCGGCCATTCCTTCCATAATCAGCATCAGTGACGGAAAGCACTCCTATTTCCCCGTAGCCTGGAAAATTCTCTGGGACAAAAAAGGTGAAGTCCTTATTGATGAAATGTGGACTGTTATCGTTTCGGTCCAGCACTGTCACCACCACAGTGCCGATTGTTTCTTTGTGTGGAGATCCGTGATCCACTGCCCCCACTGTGAACCTGTACACTTCCTTCTCTTCTCGGTCCAGCGATGTGGACACGACAAGCACTCCAGTCCAGTTATCAAGCGAAAAAATGGAAGGTGCATCAGGCCCTAGTAAATAAGACACTTCTCCCCTGTCTTCGCTGTCTTCATCTGTAGCATACAGTTTTGTCAGGAAGGTATTTGGAGCATTATTTTCCTCAATAAACAACTCCATTAGAGATTGCCTAAAAACTGGCGCATTGTCATTTTCGTCGATCACTTGCACTATAAAAATTGTTTTAATGATTAGCCCATCTGAGTTTACTGCCACTACAGAAAGTTCATATTCTTGTTTGTGCTCATAGTCCAGTGAGGCTGTTGTTTCCAATAAGTACTCATTTCTGAAGGGCTTGTAAGGTGACACTCGGAACGGGCCATTAGCTTCCAGGTGGCAGTCTATCCTTTCACTTTCATCTATATTTTTTAAAGTGAAAAATGCAATTGGAGTAAATGGAGGCTCAGACTCCTTCAGAGATACAATGCCATTTTTCTCTGGGGCAATATATCGAGGAATGATAGATGGCGGCCCCGAGACTCTGTTAATGTATAGGAACACTGTTGCAACAGCTGGTATGCAGCCTGGTCCGTTGGCGAGGACCGTCAGCTTATAGAACTTAGCTATCTTTGCATCTATTTTACCTTGCAGCTTAATGACTCCACTGGATTTATCCAAGTGAAACAGATTCCTCACCTCTCTGGGCACTCGCTCGCTGTAGACGTAGATTATCTGGGCATTGGCTCCTTGATCGGGATCATAGGCATGAAGACTGGTTAAATGCACTCCTTTGGTGGCATTCCCATGTATGGTGACATTGATGTTAGATTCCGTGAATTGCGGACAGTGGTCATTCACATCTGTTATGAAGATTTTCAGGATGGCCGTTCCCAGAAGCGGTGGATTCCCACCGTCTTCTGCAATTATCTTTGTGACGTATTCACTCTTAGTTTCTCTGTCCAGAGCACCCATCACTATCAAGAAGGGTGTCAGCTCTCTGCTCTCATTTTCCTCCACGTCCAAAGTGAAGACCCCATAGTCGTTCATCAGCCAGTACGTCTGAACTCCATGGATTCCCACATCGGGGTCAACGGCAGATTGCTCCACGGCAAACCTAGAATTCACTTGTGCATTCTCAGGGATGAACAGCCGGATCTCGTCTGATGGGAAGGAAGGCCTGTTATCGTTGACATCCTCCACAATGATTTTTACTTTAACCAGTTGGAAATATTGCTGGGGCAGAATGAACACATCCAAAAACAGGAAACACCCCTGGCCTTCGACGTTTTCCACACAGAGTATCTCTCTGTCAATTTCATTAGCAGACGTGTACAGCTCCCCAGTTGTGTTAATTAGACTCACATACTGTTCACTGATCTTCTTTAAAGCCAGACTGAATATGAAAGGGGGGTCTGCTGAGAGATCTAACTTTAAGTCCACACCGATAGACCCAATCAGGGTTCCCTTTGGTAATCCTTCTTTTATTTTGTAGATGACTTCTCTTGCTTGGCTGAAATTTGAAAAGCAGGATAAAGGCCTGATGACATTCAATAGAATGCACAGTCCCTGAAATAAATAAAAAATAACAATTACACGTGTAAAACAAAAATCAGGTCTTATTATTTTTCTATAAAATGAAAGTGCGATGCAAAACTTAGCAAACCATAGCAAAACTTACTATTAAAAAATAGCTAATACAAATTAAACGTTACATCCTTTATCTTGTGTCCTCAAGCACACCTCTAAAAACTTTATTACTGTCAAAAGATATCTCCACTCAATAGCAAGTACCAGTTTGTTCCAAAATCATTTCCAGTAGAAGCAGAGGAAAACAAGTGGACCCCCCTTCCCCATCTCATAGAATCACTTACCCATAACTTTGCTTGTATGCTGGAACGATCTTGGTTGGACATGTTTCTACAGATTTGCCCTAGAAGCTGGATAAGGAGTTAGATCTGAAGCTCTGAATTCATTTTTCTGTTGGATCGGGGAAGATCTCCGATTGCCTCCCCTGCAGAATCTAAACTGGCAAAGTCATTCACAGCTTAGATGTTCTGACCACACCCATTATGTAAATGATTCACGGCAAGAACCAATCAGTTTGATTGCTTTATATTCTCTGCTTTATATTTAGTTTTTATTGATGCATATTCACAATATTCTCAAATAAAACATATATAACCTTTTATAAACATATAAAAAGAGTTAAATGTTCTGTATTTTAAATTTGCAACCCCTTTATACCAGCAAAGCTTGTACTTATTGTATCAGTATTTAATTCACACATTGTCAGTGGTAAGTCACACACATACTGTAGCCACATCCACACACACAGCCACTCACACATATGCCACACAAATCTCTGTTTTAGTGAACATATGGATCATGTTTTGCTGTTTTTTAATTTTTTTAATGCCATTCCTCATCCAGAGAAATAAACTGTGAAAATATAATATTCAATGTATTAAAGTAATTCTGGTATAGAAAAATATAATTTAAAGGTATTGAGCGATCTTACAGTTACATAATACATCAGATGTTCATTGAGCTCAGCTTAAGCAGTGATGTAATTTGGACCCGAATGAAATTCCAGTACTTTCCCATATCAAAGATATTTTTATGCTAGCATCTCCAAATCATGAACTGCAGTTACGACAACTTCAAATCTTCAAAATCCTCTGACAATTGCAATTATATTTCTGTTATATTCTGTTATATTTGAATAAGTTTATTGCATTAATAAACCAGGAATGACTATACTGAAAACATGCATAAATCAAATTTAAAACATTTAGAAGGACCCAGCTTTTGCTGGAATGTTCCCTGTCCAGATTCATTTCTAATATGACTTTAATCCCAGTAGTTATATTTAAAAGGATCGTAGGCCTTTACTTTTATCTTTTATTTACTGGTATGCTTTTTATCTTAAATATGACATATATTTGCATAACAAAGCAGTAAAGAGCTGCCTACACAAACCACATACCATTTGAGTTCAGCAGGTTATCATCTGAATGAAATAATGTGGAAAAATATGTTTCATATAAAATTATTGTTTATAAAATATTGATATTTTCTTAATTTTTAAATTAAGCAATAACAACAATGAACGTTATAGTCAGCATTTTTCACAAATGACAGAATTTCTGCTTTTTTAAACGGAGGGAAGTCATTCCCCCAAAATCTTAAAATCGCTATACAAATTAATTCATACAAAATGGGAACCTCAATATTGGAGCCTTAATACCAAAAAACACCACACCAAAAATCACCAAAGCAAGAAATATTCCATCTTATGGGAATACCGCAGGCAGCGCAGGACCAGTCCTCCCAGATCATTAATTTGCCATCTGGTGTGTTGTGGAAATTGTAATTTCCACTCTACGGCTATTAATCTGTGTCCATGTCCATGTGTGGAATCCTGGCTAGATCTTTGCACATGCCGGTGAAGCTCCTGGTGATTTAGGCTGTCATTCCATTTTAAACGAGAAATGAATGCAGCCAGTCAGTCACTATATAAGTGGTGGGTGGGAATATCTGACACCTGTTCCCACACAGAGGCCCCAAAATTAGCAAGACAACTGCCAATGAATTGCTCTTTCTGGTGGTTATAGCACGTGTTGTTCCCAGTGAGTTTGATCCCTTGTTAGTAAGTGAGATGTGGTACCACGTCTCCCTGCACTTCTGACAGCATAGCCAGTGCAAGGGGAGCGCACTTCTATTTCAGTGCGGTGATAATGAAAGTGAATGGTTGGCTCATTATTAATGCTCTTTTAAATGCATAATTTAAATAATGGACAACTGGGAAATACGCCCCAAATCCCAAGAGTTAATATTCCTAATATAGACTGAATATATTTTAGTAAGTACTGCCCTAAGGTATTTGTTTATATCTTCTCCTTTTTTCCTTATGAAATGAATTTTAGAAGCAGTGCAAGATAATCTCTCAACTGCAGCCTCTTTTGAGCACATGCTGCCCTCTGCTGGATGTCACCGGTATAGCTTTTTGTCTGCTATCAAGTCTTCTTCTGTAATATTTAATTGTAGGAAAAGTGCCAGGGAAGTAGATGGAATTTTATTTTCTTTATATATATATTGATGTATATTTTAATATATTATATATTGTAGATGGATGTTTTTGAAGATGGGGAAGAACATATATGGATCATTTAAAAAGTATGGTAACAGACATATAAATGCATTAGAGAGACCATCATAATGCATTGTAAAGCTTTCACAAAGTATTATAAACATGGCTATAAATATTTATAATAAGGCATAGCACATTATAGCCATGTTCATTATGTATTATGAATGCTGTCAACTATAATGCATTATAACAGTAAGTATAATGCATTATCAACGTATTTATAGTGCATTATAGTGCATTAAGTATTTCATAATACATTATGAGTATATGCATAATGTATTTATATGACTGCTTTAAGTAAAATGTTACCAAAAAGATTTTCCAGCATCATCATAATTGTGGATGTATAATATAAAACACATTCTTGTGTTTCATGACTTTATTATTAAATGCTGTTCATTTCCCACAGCACTTTCATTCTCTCCTTTCTCGCTTGGGTTGACTCTAAATATTTTTGGCTAATGCAACGTTTTTAAAAAAGTTAAATAAGTTGAGATCTAGCAAACTTCACATGAAGCCACCAGGTCAAGCACAGCAGAGGTGACATCCTTACATTCACAATTGACGAACACAAATATGCCTATATGATTAAGAGTGGAAACTTGGTATACCCCTTCCTAAACTATAAAGATCTACACACAGTATAGAGTACAGATTTAGGAGTGATCTCTACACCACAGACCCATAATATAAGTATTTCAAGTCCCACTTCCCATGAACTTCCGCATATTAAAAGACAAATTTAAACAGAGCAAGAGGATATTACATTCAGGAATGTTAGTTGTATTATTACTTAATTCCCAGTGTTTAGTGACATTAGCCAAAACATTGTCATAATGGATTGAAGCTGGCGTGTCTACAAATTACTTCGAAGCTGCAATGGGATAGAAACTCACTCATCAACGATGCAGATTACAGTCCCGGTGTCTCTCTGAAAGGCAACACAAAGCAGGGATCAGTAAGAAAATGCAGCCTCTTCACTTCTGAAGCAGTTCACGCTGGAGAACTAGCAAATCACATCGTCCTTAGAGTGAGCTGTGTGTTAGGTGTGATGCGGCATGATCCGAAGGAGACCTTGTTGTGTGCTGATCTCCTAGCAGTTTATAATGCTAGTCTTTGCAAAACAAAACGATTCTTTAAACACTTCATTGTTCAGAGTCACTGACTAAATATCTAAATCAACAAATATTATTTCATCTTTGTATAATTTTGAATTTGCATGTAATGTGACAAATAATAAATACCTACCACTGGAATATTTCCTGCATCGCCAGATGAGATCCACAGACACAGTATCTGTAACTCAGCATATGGTGCCCCAACCCACCCACACGGAAATAACCTATATAAACATATGTTTTAATATAGGTTTTGATATAGGTTTTTAATATATGTGACATATATAAAATTGGCCGTTTTCCTATATTATATGTACATATATGCACCTCAATTTTGCCTATATGTGGCATACATACGCATATATGCAGCATCTATATGCATATATACTGCATATAGGTTTCATATATGCGCATATATCCTCATATAGGTTCTTTCCATGTGGGCAGCCAGATACAGACAAGTGCAATTACTATATAATATTCACTTGACATTGTTTCAGATATGGCTTTCTGTGTATATCATACAGTGTTGTGTTTTGTATTAAATAATGAATTGTATCTTGTATGCTTACTGAAGATTAAACTGAAACCTCAAAATATACTATCAACATAGAAAAAAAATGTAATCAATATGCTAAACCATATTTCCATATTGGGTATCAAGTGACCATTCTGGAAATAAATAGTGCAACGCAAAACAAATGTAAATACTTTCTGCAAAATCTTAAGAGGAAGAACAGATCTGGTGGGGTATCAGCCTCGTTCTGCACTACAGTGGGGTACGCAAATGGTAATACCTAGTAATCTGGTCTGTACTCTGCATAGTCCAGTCCCCCGAGGTACAGAGGAGGTGGTTAAGGGACACTGAGGACACAAGTTCCTCTGAATCTTTGGGAGCGAATGAGGTGCAGTGATGTAAGATTATCAGCTTTAAGATGCCTGCAGCACGACGACCAGAGGAGGAAGTGGGAGAGCTCCTGATCACTCGCCGCCCGCCAGACGGGCGACCTCAGGACCTTCCATGGATCATTGTGACAGGCCAGGATGTTGCCAGCGGCAAATGATGTGCCCGTGGTGCAGCACTCTGCCGTGCCGTGGGGCGTTCAAGGACAGCCCCTGGGTTCACCCGCGCCGGCCCTTGCCACCTGCCGTTCCGCTGAGGATGACTGCCACTCCGGCAGCCGGGCCGCGGCGAAGCACGCCCTCCTGAAAGCCAGTGGGGGGGTGGCATTTCAATTGTCCAGAACAGATGGACAGGTCTGCTTGAAGCTCAGGCCTTGCCTCCCGTATGTATTCACTTTGGCCTGTGGATCTCAAGGTTATTTCTAAATGCACGCATGCTGAGAATTACTAGTAGGGCAAAGGACCTCATATTTTAAACAAGTCAGTAGGCCTTATAAATGGCATACAGCTTTCAGGGTGTTACAGCTCATTAGGACAATGTGATGCATTGCAGATAGGTTTCCTAGGTACTATTGAATTAATGTTTGATGGAGTTATTTGATCTTGCAGGCATCATTCTCACAGCGTGCACATATAGACATAATATGAGTAGCTCAATCAAACACAAATAAAATCAATAGATAGGGAAGCTATTTAAAATCTCTTACGACACTGAATAAGGAATAAATGAAGCGGGGCTGTTACTCCAGTGGCTGACATTTCCATTTTGGTGCGATGTGATTGTTAATAATGGAGAGAATTATACACCGGATCTGGGAACAGAGAAAAAAATGGCTTATCACTTTCACACAATGTGCAATAGCAGATGTTTAGCAGTCTGATTGGGTATCTGTTATACAGAGATGGAGTTTTTTTTTTATATATATATATGTTTTCTCCCTGGTTAGATGCTGATTTCATGCTATAGAAGAAGCCATGTTCATCTATCATTAGGATTTGGATATTGTCGGCGCATTGCAGACTCAATTCGTATTGCCGCCCATCTTACAATTTAGCTGAGGTTATTCTAGAAACCCCTGGAGCATTCCACGGCTGCACATTACCCATCTTTGCTTT